TCCAACACTATATAGACACGTCGTCTAATACATTCACTAGGGTAATTTGCAATAGATATCTAAATATATCTAAAGCACTTAAAAACAAACTCCTTCGCTTGTCTCCGCGTTCCAAAACGACTACACGGGTGTAAACATCATGGTATCATTTGTTAAATCTGTTATTATCAATTCATATCACTTACCATTTGGATTACGACTAAGTGTGATTGACTTCAAAAATCATTAACTTACTTGTTCAACTGATAAAATTCTAAGCTGGTTTACGAAATAAATTTCCGAAACCACATATATATATACATGGAGTACCGTTTACTTGCTGAAGGACGTATGCTGTATGTTGTGAAGTCAACAATGACGCTGTTTCGCGTAAAAGTTTGAACATACAAAATGTAAACACTATTTATACAGCAATGAGTATATAAACATATGAAGGAATGTTTTACAAATGTGGCGATGTGTGTAAATATAGGATGTGTGTAAATATAGGGATGTTTGTAAATATAGGGATGTGTGTTAATATAGGATGTGTGTAAATACAGGAATGTGTGTTAATATAGGGATGTGTGTAAATATAGGGATGTGTGTAATATAGGGATGTGTGTAAATATAGGATGTGTGTTAATATAGGGATGTGTGTAAATAAAGGGATATGTGTAAATATAGGGATGTGTGTAAATACAGCAATGTGTGTAAATATAGGGATGTGTGTAAATATAGGGATGTGTGTAAATACAGGGATGTGTGTAAATACAGGGATGTGTGTATATATAGGTTGTAAATATAGGAATGTGTGTAAATATAGGGATGTGTGTAAATATAGGGATGAGTGTAAATACAGGGATGTGTGTATATATAGTGATGTGTGTAAATATTGAGATGTGTGTGAATATAGGATGTGTGTAAATATAGGTTGTAAATATAGGAATGTGTGTAAATATAGGGATGTGTGTAAATATAGGGATGTGTGTAAATATAGGATAGTGTGTAAATATGTGTGTAAATATATGTGTAAATATGTGTGTAAATATAGGAATGTGTGTAAATATAGGGAAGTGTGTAAATATAGGGATGTGTGTAAATATAGGGATGTGTGTAAATATAGGATCTGTGCAAATATAGGGATGTGTGTAAATATAGGGATGTGTGTAAATATAGGAATGTGTGTAAATATAGGATGTGTGTAAATATAGGATATGTGTAAATATAGGAATGTGTGTAAATATAGGGATGTGTGTAAATATAGGGATGTGTGTAAATATAGGGAAGTGTGTAAATATAGGGATGTGTGTAAATATAGGATGTGTGTAAATATAGGATGTGTGTAAATACAGGAATGTGTGTAAATACAGGGATGTGTGTAAATATAGGGATGGGTGTAAATATAAGGATGTGTGTAAATATAGGGATGGATGTAAATATAAGGATGTGTGTAAATATAGGATGTGTGTAAATATAGGATGTAAATATAGGGATGTGTGTAAATATAGGGATGTGTGTAAATATAGGATCTTTGCAAATATAGGGATGTGTGTAAATACAGGGATGTGTGTAAATATAGGATATGTAAATATAGGGATGTGTGTTAATATAGGGATGTGTGTAAATATAAGGATGTGTAAATATAGGGATGTTTGTAAATATAGGGATGTGTGTAAATATAGGATGTGTGTAAATATAGGGATGTGTGTAAAATAGGGATGTGTGTAAATATTGGGATGTGTATAAAACAGGAATGTGTGTAAATACAGGGATGTGTGTAAATATAGGGATGTGTGTAAATATAGGATGTGTGTTATTATAGGGATGTGTGTAAATATAGGATGTGTGTAAATATAGGATGTGTGTAAATACAGCAATGTGTGTAAAAACAGGGACGTGTGTAAATACAGGGATGTGTTTAAATATAGGAATGTGTGTAAATATAGGGATGTGTGTAAATATAGGGATGTGTGTAAATGTAGGAATGTGTGTAAATATAGGATGTGTGTAAATACAGCAATGTGTGTAAAAACAGGGACGTGTGTAAATACAGGGATGTGTTTAAATATAGGAATGTGTGTAAATATAGGGATGAATGTAAATATAGGGATGTGTGTAAATGTAGGAATGTGTGTAAATATAGGGATGTGTGTAAATATAGGGATGTGTGTAAATATAGGATGTGTGTAAATGTAGGAATGTGTGTAAATATAGGATGTGTGTAAATATAGGAATGTGTGTAAATATAGGATGTGTGTAAATACAGGGATGTGTGTAAATATAGGGATGGGTGTAAATAAAAGGATGTGTGTAAATATAGGGATGGGTGTAAATATAAGGATGTGTGTATATTCCGGAATGTGTATAAATTGAGGATATAGGAACATGTCTAAATATAGGGATGTTTGTAAATAAAGGACTACGTTTAAATATGGTGTAAATAAATATACTTGTACATTTAAGAGTGTGTGTGAATAAAACATAACAATAAATATTGCGTGAGATGTGTAAAGGCAGGTGTGATACATGTCCTACTGTAGCAAATGTTAGTAAATTTATTATATTAGTTTTGTATACACACGCAATGTTTATAACCAAAGAATTCGATCAATTTGACAAAATTAAGGTGTAAATATCATAATTTACAGAGTGTAACTTACAACATCAATACTCCAACACTAACAACAGATAAAAACAGAATTCAAATGAAGTGTACAGAAATCAGTTAATGTCTCCCTCTACCCTCGTCTGTGCGCACCACTCCCTTCGGAACTCCTCGCAAGAAAATCAATCTCTTATTATCTCCGCGGATGATTAGCCACTCTATTCAGCTTCTCTTCAGAACTCGTTGGACGGTTATAGTTTATCTCGGAACTCCTCGGGTTGTGATCATTTACTGGGAACTCCTCGGATGGTATTACGTTATCATTATTTATTTCACAGTGGATGAATCTCCCAATTGAAAGTAAAAGCACGCAGATAATCCAAACGTTCGATTACGTCTGCATATATTGAAAAGACATCTTTCAATACTGACAAGAATGTTTGAATGAGTCTATCAGATGTGTAGCCCTACATCACAAAATAGACCAATCAGATGTGTAGACCTACATCACAAAATAGACCAATCAATGTGTAGTCCTACATCACAAAATTGACCAATCAGATGTGTAGACCTACATCACATATAGACCAATCAGATGTGTAGACCTACATAAACATATAGACCAATCATATGTGTAGTCCTACATCATAAAATAGACCAATAAGATGTGTAGTCCTACATCATAAAATAGACCAATAAGATGTGTAGACCTACATTACATATAGACCAATCATATGTGTAGTACTACATCACAAAATAGACCAATCAGATGTGTAGTCCTTCATCACATATAGACCAATCAGATGTGTAGACCTACATCACATATAGACCAATCAGATGTGTAGTACTACATCATAAAATAGACCAATCAGATGTGTAGTCCTACATCACAAAATAGACCAGTCAGATGTGTAGTCCTTCATCACATATAGACCAATCAGATGTGTAGACCTACATCACATATAGACCAATCAGATGTGTAGACCTACATTACATATAGACCAATCATATGTGTAGTACTAAATCATAAAATAGACCAATCAGATGTGTAGTCCTACATCATATAAATAGACCAATCAGATGTGTAGTCCTACATCACAAAATAGACCAATCAGATGTGTAGTCCTACATCACAAAATAGACAAATCAGATGGATAGTCCTACATCACATATAGACCAATCAGAGGGCTTGTCAAACCACATAGGATAAATAAAGAGATGCGCAATGCCAAATTAAAGTTACTAGCGTTTGATATAGAAAGTCACGTGGTCAGGAGAAGATTTTTTTTATATACATCCCTTACCTTGTAATGTAATTAAATGTGGACAATGTGGAGTTAAACTCAGATTAAACACTATTCACCCATGTCAAGGTCACTACTGTTCAAGCAGACCTATAATGTTTCTACGTAAGTTAGTAAGTAATCCCAAAACGCAGATTAATGTCTATTTAGGGGAAATATATATGTATGTTTTTCAGGATTCATTCGTTTTATTTTCAGCACCGAATTCATGTTTACGAATATGAACGTAAAGTGATCACTTAACAACTAGATCTCGTGGGAACGATTTTTCTAATATGCAAATAGTTTTTTTTTATGATTGCATTCGCAATAAGCGTTAGACACGAAATAATAATGACGTGAATACGACCCTTTTTTCAAAAGAAAATATCAAGTTAAATTACTAAGCACTATACATTTCATCCGTAACTTTTATCTAGTTTATACCCTGTTCCGTTCATATTAGATTAATGTTTGGGACGGTCTAAAATCAGAATGAAATTACGGAGAAAAAAAACAAGAAAACATATATCTTCCTATGTTATATATATGTACCGAGCCATCTGTAACCTGACTCATGTGAAGAAAAGACAATATCACATGCAACCGTTAGAATCATAATTCATAAGATTTGGGAACGAATCTTTGAATACATTATAAAAATTACATTTTTTACTAAGATTAAGGAATGGTTTTTTTTTTCAACTCGTAATGTTGAAAAGTTAATCACGTTATACATACACCAATAAATATTATAACAGAACTGTCATACCATGTCTGTGTGGCCATATTGTTTTAAGGAATGAATCATATTTCTGACAAATTAGAGCTATTTACCATTCTAGAAAAAAATAAGTAAATAAAAAATAGAAATAAAATCTGATCATTAAAAAAAGGAATCACGTGACATCACGAGACCCATCCGAGAAGTGACGAGAGACACAATGTATGAAGTGGACAAGTTATCATTTTCGATGAACATCCGGTCATGTGACTACACTAGAACTTCCAATCTTTACATTCACTGAGACAGAAAATCAATCGCTCCGTGTTCGTCGAGAGCCAGATCACGTGCTTTTTCACGAGGTCTCTAGGCTATGAATAGAAACATCAACTGACCACGTGACATTTCACGCAGCCAGGAATTCTGGGACGCCAAACAGATAGTTTCCTCTCGCCTGACGGTCATCTGAGAAAAAATACTCCTTCCAGAGCTGACTGAACTCAGATCGAGAGATGTTCTTCCCCTGTCGAGATAACAAGTGTATTTAACCATAAACATGGAAACTCCGCTGTCTCGATTTTTGTAATATTCAAACCTGTTATCTGAATGATAGTCGTCGATCTTAAATTACAAGTACATATTAGTTTTGTCAAAATGCAGATATTATCTCACGTGATATCGCCAAAATTTTAGAAAATGGGAGACTTGGGAGGTTTAGTTCGTCACGGGAGGATAATACTTACACCTGATATCTTTTGGAAGGCCTTCTCACAATCTTCCACCGAGATGTAATTTTGGTAGTAAGTCTTGTACTCCGTTTCGTCAATCTCGTTGTCACCTGACACAAACATGTGAATCTCATTGGCTGATGTCAATAATAAACACTAACCTAAACATAGTTATGTACTTATACATAATCATTAATGGTTGTAAACATCCCTTAGGGAGGTAGAACAATCCACTTTTCAGTATATCACAAGAGTTTCAAATTCAAGCAACACCTTTTCAACGATTCCGGGAATTTTTTTTATCTTACTAATATCTTACTTAAATGTAGTATTAAGTGAAACAGAAATTATTTCAAGTTCCGATTTAATTCTGTATTCTACAAGTGACTACAAACACAGATATTCTGGCGACAATCTTATTTCACCGTTTGTGTTTTATTTCGTTAAAACTTGATTGTATGTAATCGTTTTTGTGGGTGCGGGAATTGTTATAAAGCAAAAAACTGATAATGTGTTAAACTTTGAAAGCGTCAAATTAAATACGTTAATTGTGCCCTATATTTACACTACATTGTCTCCGTAATGACGTCATACTATTGTCTTCTCGTGTTTGACGACATTTCACAATTTCTTTATGGCATCATGGTGTGTCGATGAGCTTATACGAAAAAATAACATCATTGTTTTCTATTACATATCTAATCATATCGACATTACATGATAAAGAGTACGTCAGACCATTTTTTGCAGCCTAACGTAGAACTGTTTGCAATCTAAATTTGAAAGCTCTGCTAAAAAACTTGACCTTGACTCATAATAACCGAAATTGTCCAGGTCCCTGTCACATACATCGTTATTTAGACCTGGGCACGTTAGAAACGAAATCGTCCAGGTCCCTGTTCCATTTATCGTTATTTCGACCTGGACACGTAAGAAACGAAATCGTCCAGGGCCCTGTTCCATTTATCGTTATTTCGACCTGGGCACGTAAGAAACGAAATCGTCCAGGGCCCTGTTCCATTTATCGTTATTTCGACCTGGACACGTAAGAAACGAAATCGTCCAGGTCCCTGTCACATACATCGTTATTCTGACCTGGGCACGTAAGAAATGAAATCGTCCAGGGCCCTGTTCCATTTATCGTTATTTTGACCTGGACACGTAAGAAAAGAAATCGTCCAGGTCCCTGTTCCATTTATCGTTATTTCGACCTGGACACGTAAGAAACGAAATCGTCCAGGTCCCTGTCACATACATCGTTATTCTGACCTGGGCACGTAAGAAATGAAATCGTCCAGGGCCCTGTTCCATTTATCGTTATTTTGACCTGGACACGTAAGAAAAGAAATCGTCCAGGTCCCTGTTCCATTTATCGTTATTTAGACCTGGGCACGTAAGAAACGAAATCGTCCAGGTCCCTTTCACATACATCGTTATTTAGACCTGGGCACGTAAGAAACGAAATCGTCCAGGTCCCTTTCACATACATCTTTATTTTGACCTGGACACGTAAGAAACGAAATCGTCCAGGTCCCTGTTCCATTTATCGTTATTTCGACCTGGACACGTAAGAAACGAAATCGTCCAGGGCCCTGTTCCATTTATCGTTATTTCGACCTGGGCACGTAAGAAACGAAATCGTCCAGGGCCCTGTTCCATTTATCGTTATTTTGACCTGGACACGTTAGAAACGAAATCGTCCAGGTCCCTGTTCCATTTATCGTTATTTCGACCTGGGCACGTAAGAAACGAAATCGTCCAGGGCCCTGTTCCATTTATCGTTATTTTGACCTGGGCACGTAAGAAACGAAATCGTCCAGGGCCCTGTTCCATTTATCGTTATTTCGACCTGGGCACGTAAGAAACGAAATCGTCCAGGGCCCTGTTCCATTTATCGTTATTTTGACCTGGGCACGTAAGAAACGAACTCATCCGTTTTCGAATACCTGATTTATCGTTGACGTTGAACATAAAGTCCATGAACTTCTGCTGCCATTCGGGGACGGTGTTACTTCTGATGCAGTCCTCCCACATCCGGACCCATTCTTCCTGGGACACACGGTCGTCCTGTAACACATTTTTTTTCTTACATACTGACATTTAAAAAACGTATTTCGTTAATAAATCAAAACGGAAGAAATAAGTGGGCGGTGGCGCCATCTGTTGTCTGTGGCTGGGTATGTAGGTTGTGAGGTGTCGTTACCTACTTCTGTTGGGTAGTGCGCGCGGCTCTGAGCACAATTTATATGTCACTGTCATCATGTATCATGGGACTTTTAAAGATTGTAGGTTTTCTAAGATTTATTGAAAAAAAAAATGATTAAGTTTTTTTTAACCACACATCATTTCTTCAAGAAATAATTTGTAGAAACAATAATATATCAAATCGAGTTTCCAGCTCACCTTTGACTAGCTAATCCCTTGGATGACATTCATCAATTTAATGAAATAAAAAAAAATCGATATGACAGGCATGTCGAATATTTGCTGAAAAATATTGAAGATTCCAGCGAGTTCCAGTAACCTCGTATACAAGGAAAGGTCAAAGTAGGAGATAAATACATTTTATGGTGACAGTTTTGAAACTAGGCTGTCGTGTTTGATATCTATTGTTTTAACATATGGCGTGCCATGTTTATCACGTGATACACATACAGCGTTGACGTCAGCATACGCTCGTAATCCCTTCCAGATCAATCCAAGGGCTTCCTGTGTCTCCTTGTGTTTCTTACAATCCACCGGCCACTCCAGGATCTTACGGATTTTCTGAAATACAAAACACAGATCTTAACCTTCTTTATAAGACTTCTTTAAATTTGTATTGATCAACATAATTGTACTAAGCTGGCGAGAAATGACACCAAACACATCAAGCATTGACTGCACTTGAAAAGAATTCACCTTTTTTCTACTGAGTGGTGCCGGGAGACCTTTTTGCCAATAGATTTGATAATGAAGAATATGGAGTGATAACGAAATCGCGACATACCCGAAAAGTTGTTTTTTAATTTCTCGGTAAGCCGTGTGTTTTTGTTTGGTGGTTTAAATAACAATTCCGAGTTCGATGATATAGTACATTTCGTAAATATCATTAAGGCATTCTCTTTACAGCCGTAAATTTGGTCCAAATACATCAGAAGTCTTCATGGGAATGAATAATGAAAAAACTATACCATGAATGCTGTGATGTACTACAAGAGGTCCAATGGGCCTGGACGGTCTAAGTAGAACGGTAGATGACACAACAGTAGTGGTAAACCCCACGTGATCAAAACTGCAGTAACAAATCGATACAAACTTCTTCGTTTAATGTTTTCCTACAACGCATTACCTCGTTGGTACCAATAAAATTAGAGAAAATGTTTTAGAATTTGCTTTTTCAATATGGCGGTCATGGCGGCCATATTGGATTTCGGCAATTCCCGAAAAAAATAAACATCAGTTAATTGATACCAGCTCTTGATCAATTCAATCAAGATTAGTTTGAATCCCACTGACACAACTTGAAAATAAAAGGTTGAAATAAGTGTTTGTCAGGAAAACATGACTTTGTGAAATTATGTTGCAAAATGGGCGTGGCGGTTGCCTTGCCAACTTTTTGAAAAGGCTGAAAAATACCAGCACTTTGTCGGTGTTTCCACAAATATTCGGCACGATGGCTCAAACGACACCTTAGTAGTTTCAGATGTGTTCAAATGATTTCAGATCAATTTAAAAACTAACAATACTTGGTCAGGATCATCGCAGGTAATTTAAGGCAAGCTTAACGAATTCCATTCGTGAAAAAACATGAGGAGAATGTTGAAAGGCGAGTTTAGGAAAAACGTATTTACGCGATAGCTGTGTCGATTCTCACGTCAGAGTTTTTACGAGTCTGAGAAAATGACAACACGTTTTGTCTTGCTCAATACACATCTCGATCAATTTTCAGCTAAATGACAACAGTTGAAATGGACAAGGTTATTTTTTTCAAGATGGCTGTGAATTTCGGACTGTCCAAAAATTAACTTTGGACTAGAACACGCGATGACAGTGTTGGTCTTCCTGAAATGTTCAGGTCAGATGACCTTAAGAGAAATGAATGTATTTCGTCAATGAGTCGACGACAGAAATATGACTGATGACGTCAGTAATTATTAACCAGGGGATATATTAGACAGGAACATAAGCGTATCTTATAGAATATATTCTATGTAAGAGGCCAACAACAGTCGTATACCACGTGTGTTCACAATGAAGGTGTTGCTGAGGGTATCACCCCCAAGGAAAACGCCAGGTACAGATCGGGACCGAGGCTGGACTGTTCGGCAAGCGTAGATTGAGGGGCCCAGCCGTACCTCTTCGGAACTTACTTTACTGAATATCATTAGTTTTCAGAATTTCAACAAAAGGTAAAGTCGGTGCACCCAGTTATTTCTAGAAGCATCATGCTATTAAGTATGAGCTAAAATGGGTGGTATTTTTTCATTGTTTCAATCCAAACAAAAAAAAAATATCAGAAACTGCATTTTGAGATTTACATATATATCAGATCCAATATTCGGTACATGTGCGTTCGTGGAATAATTTCAGACCACCTGAACCGTTTCAACCGGGTTAAGCGAAAGCGGTCCAGCTTGTTAACCACAGGTGAAGTAAGGTGACTAAACGCGCATGCTTACCACGGAGGAAAGCCGGTTACTACACGTGCATGTTTACGAAAGAAGTCGTGTGATTACACACTCTCGCGGAGGAAGTCGGATAATGCAGGAACTCATTTACCACAGAGGAAGTAGGATGACAGCACGAGCTCGTTTACCACGGAGGAAGTCGGATGACTGCACGAGCTCGTTTACCACGGAGGAAGCACGCGCATGTTTCTGATCTGTATACCTGGTAATCGATTATTAGACAGATTCCCGCATATCCAGGTAATATCCGGCCAAATCGCGCTAGAGATGGCATCACATATAGACACTGTAGCTAGTCTATATCGATTTGAAGCCCACACAATGCCAGATCCCTCTCACAAAGGGCCTCTGAGGACGCCAGCGAACGCAACAAGAGATTTGAAATATATGTCAGTGATTAATTTTTTTATTGAAGGAAGAATGATGTCTAAGCAACTGTGAACTAAGATTGCGTTATGTATTCTACGACAATGTACACGCTTTTCTCAATTAGCAGAAACAGATACACAGGGAGATTGCTACATTCAATAGTACACACACCTATCTGCATAACCAATCAAACACATGGCTCATTATATCACAAAACTTTGGACGGAGCATGTCTGATTTCCCGCCGAATTTCCACAATGTTTGATAATTGATCAATACAAACGTCCCCCAATGAACAAATAGTTCCTTCGATTTTAGTCCGCCATTGATTTCGTTGATTGATGTGTCTCTGAGGAGTTCAATGTTATCGATTATTGATTTCGTTGATTGATGTGTCTCTGAGGAGTTCAATGTTATCGATTATCGATTATTGATTTCGTTGATTGATGTGTCTCTGAGGAGATCAATGTTATCGATTATCGATTTATTGATTTCGTTGATTGATGTGTCTCTGAGGAGATCAATGTTATCGATTATTGATTATTGATTTCGTTGATTGATGTGTCTCTGAGGAGATCAATGTTATCGATTATTGATTATTGATTTCGTTGATTGATGTGTCTCTGAGGAGTTCAATGTTATCGATTATCGATTATTGATTTCGTTGATTGATGTGTCTCTGAGGAGATCAATGTTATCGATTATCGATTTATTGATTTCGTTGATTGATGTGTCTCTGAGGAGATCAATGTTATCGATTATTGATTATTGATTTCGTTGATTGATGTGTCTCTGAGGAGATCAATGTTATCGATTATTGATTATTGATTTCGTTGATTGATGTGTCTCTGAGGAGTTCAATGTTATCGATTATCGATTATTGATTTCGTTGATTGATGTGTCTCTGAGGAGATCAATGTTATCGATTATCGATTTATTGATTTCGTTGATTGATGTGTCTCTGAGGAGATCAATGTTATCGATTATCGATTTATTGATTTCGTTGATTGATGTGTCTCTGAGGAGATCAATGTTATCGATTATCGATTTATTAATTTCGTTGATTGATGTGTCTCTGAGGAGTTCAATGTTATCGATTATCGATTTATTAATTTCGTTGATTGATGTGTCTCTGAGGAGATCAATGTTATCGATTATCGATTATTGATTTCGTTTATTTGTTTATTGATAATTGAAATCTATTATTACAAAAAATTTGATATTTCCAACCATATTAAGGTTCTTCTCTTACAGTTACACTTCTGATATTTAACCAACAAAAATTAACATAGAAAAAAAAACTTGAAAAATTAACAACGTAATACAGAGATTTTCGAATGTCGTCGCGAAACAGTACGCTTTTCTGTATTCTAGTTCTCCAAGGGGAAGATTTTAAAAAAAAGTTTCATCAGCGACCCACCAAAATATACATCAAAACATCCGGGCTTCAAATGTGAATGTATAAACACAAATTTACATCACAGATAAATAATAATGAAACACTACGATTCAATACCAGATTGTGGAAATAGACACATACGAATTTAATTGTTTCATAATAGACACAAAGCAGTGGGATTATGCATTGATTTAAGTGTTCCTGCTAGAGGTTAAGTGTGATCGACAAACAGTCCTGACAGGTAAATCTCGCTATAGTCAGACACCATTCCGCACAATACCACACCAATCAATAACCTAACAAGATCGCCCTAAGTAAGTAGAAATCTACCTACTGGCCAATCTTTAAAAAAAATCACTTGGCAACTGAGTCTATATTTTCCGATTTTATTTCATCTATTCTTAAAATTGATTTTTGGTTATGTTATTTCAAATGGACGTGTACGCCATACTCTAGAGAACAACCGTCTGGTTCCTGTCACTTAATTCAGTTTAAACGAAAAATGACAGTTTCAGTGCTGTTGGAATCAAAGTGATGGCCACAGAGACTGATTTGCTGCTGTAAGGCCACAACCGTATTACTGGGATGAAAGTCACAGATTGATAGAGTGGGTTAAAGGTCACAGACTTACAAACTGGGATGAAAGTCACAGCTTGATAGAGTGGGTTATAGGTCACAGACTTATAAACTGGGATGAAAGTCACAGATTGATAGAGTGGGTTAAAGGTCACAGACTTACAAACATGGATGAAAGTCACAGATTGATAGAGTGGGTTAAAGGTCACAGACTTACAAACTGGGATGAAAGTCACAGCTTGATAGAGTGGGTTAAAGGTCACAGACTTATAAACTGGGATGAAAGTCACAGATTGATAGAGTGGGTTAAAGGTCACAGCCTTGTAAACATGGATGAAAGTCACAGATTGATAGAGTGGGTTAAAGGTCACAGACTTATAAACTGGGATGAAAGTCACAGATTGATAGAGTGGGTTATAGGTCACAGACTTATAAACTGGGATGAAAGTCACAGATTGATAGAGTGGGTTAAAGGTCACAGACTTACAAACTGGGATGAAAGTCACAGATTGATAGAGTGGGTTAAAGGTCACAGACTTACAAACTGGGATGAAAGTAACAGATTGATAGAGTGGGTTAAAGGTCACAGACTTATAAACTGGGATGAAAGTCACAGATTGATAGAGTGGGTTAAAGGTCACAGACTTACAAACTGGGATGAAAGTAACAGATTGATAAAGTGGGTTAAAGGTCACAGACTTATAAACTGGGATGAAAGTCACAGATTGAAAGAGTGGGTTAAAGGTCACAGACTTACAAACTGGGATGAAAGTCACAGATTGATAGAGTGGGTTAAAGGTCACAGACTTGTAAACTGGGATGCAAGGCACAGATTGATAGATTGGGTTAAAGGTCACAGACTTGTAAACTGGGATGAAAGTCACAGATTGATAGAGTGGGTTAAAGGTCATAGAAAGCGACAGTCTTTTTGTAACATCACAGACTTATACACTGAGTTGAAGGTCACAAACACAAGACTGGGGTGAAGGTCATAAACTGATATAACTGAGGTGAAGGCCGTCGACTGAGTAACTAGAGTAAATGTCACAAACTGACAAACTTTGGTGAAGGTAAAAGATCGACAGACTGGGATGAAGGTCACAGGCTGATACACATGGATAAAATCAAATTACAAAAACATACAAACCTCAATCGCCATTACGAAGTCTCTCTCTTCTATGAAGCCATCTTTATTGCTATCTGAAAGGAAAATACCACACTAAGTCAATATTTACTTTTATTTCTGAAGAACAATAAGTGAGAAAAACACAATAACTGTTTCCCAGTCTAAAACTTTAAGAGTGAAGTTGAATTTATATATGACATTGCAGCAGAGAGTTAGCTCCCCGGAGTATCGGACAATACAGAGATAGTTAGCTCCCCGGAGTATTTGACAATACAGAGATAGTTAGCTCCCCGGAGTATCTGACAATACAGGAGAGAGTTAGCTCCCCGGAGTATTTGACAATACAGAGATAGTTAGCTCCCCGGAGTATCTGACAATATAGAGATACTTAGCTCCACTGAGTATCTGACATTACAGAGATAATTAGCTCCCCGGAGTATCTGATAATACAAAAGAGAGTTAGCTCCCCGGAGTATTTGACATTACAGAGATAGTTAGCTCCCCGAAGTGTCTGACAATATAGAGATAGCTAGCTCCCCGGAGTATCTGACAATACAGAGAGAGTTAGCTCCCCGGAGTATCTGACAATACAGCGATAGTTAGCTCCACTGAGTATCTGACATTACAGAGATAATTAGCTCCCCGGAGTATTTGACAATACAGCGATAGTTAGCTCCCCGGAGTATCTGACAATACAGAGACCATTAGCTCCCCGGAGTATCTGACATTACAGCAGGTATTTAGCTCCCCGGAGTATCTGACAATACAGAGATCATTAGCTCCCCGGAGTTTCTGACATTACAGAGATAATTAGCTCCCCGGAGTATCTGACATTACAGCAGGTATTTAGCTCCCCGGAGTATCTGACAGTACAGAGATAGTTAGCTCTCCGGAGTATCTGACTCTCCGGAGTATCTGACAATACAGAGATAGTTAGCTCCCCGGAGTATCTGACAATACAGGAGAGAGTTAGCTCCCCGGAGTATATGAAAATACAGCAGAGAGTTAGCTCCCCGGAGTATCGGACAATACAGAGATAGTTAGCTCCCCGGAGTATTTGACAATACAGAGATAGTTAGCTCCCCGGAGTATCTGACAATACAGTGATAGTTAGCTCCCCAGAGTATCTGACAATACAGAGTAAATTAGCTCACCGGAGTATCTGAAAATACAGAGATACTTAGCTCCCCGGAGTATCTGACAATACAAAAGAGAGTTAGCTCCCCGGAGTATTTGACAATACAGAGATAGTTAGCTCCCCGGAGTATCTGACATTACAGCAGGTATTTAGCTCCTCGGAGTATCTGACAATACAGAGATCATTAGCTCCCCGGAGTATCTGATAATACAAAAGAGAGTTAGCTCCCCGGAGTATTTGACATTACAGAGATAGTTAGCTCCCCGAAGTATCTGACAATATAGAGATAGCTAGCTCCCCGGAGTATCTGACAATACAGAGTAAATTAGCTCACCGGAGTATCTGAAAATACAGAGATACTTAGCTCCCTAGAGTATCTGACAATACAAGAGAGAGTTAGCTCCCCGGAGTATCTGACATTACAGAGATAGTTAGCTCCCCGAAGTATCTGACAATATAGAGATAGCTAGCTCCCCGGAGTATCTGACAATACAGAGTAAATTAGCTCACCGGAGTATCTGAAAATACAGAGATACTTAGCTCCCTAGAGTATCTGACAATACAAGAGAGAGTTAGCTCCCCGAAGTATCTGACAATATAGAGATACTTAGCTCCCCGGAGTATCTGACAATACAGAGAGAGTTAGCTCCCCGGAGTATCTGCCAATACAGAGATAATTAGCTCCCCGGAGTATCTGACAATACAGAGATAGTTAGCTCCCCGGAGTATCTGACAATACAGAGATCATTAGCTCCCCGGAGTATCTGACATTACAGCAGAGAGTTAGCTCCCCGGAGTATCTGACAATACAGAGAGAGTTAGCTCCCCGGAGTATCTGAAAATAGAGAGATAGTTAGCTCCCCGGAGTATTTGACATTACAGAGATAGTTAGCTCCCCGAAGTATCTGACAATATAGAGATAGCTAGCTCCCCGGAGTATCTGACAATACAGAGTAAATTAGCTAACCGGAGTATCTGAAAATACAGAGATACTTAGCTCCCCAGAGTATCTGACAGTACAGAGATAGTTAGCTCTCCGGAGTATCTGACAATACAGAGATAGTTAGCTCCCCGGAGTATCTGAAAATACAGAGATAGTTAGCTCCCCGGAGTATCTGACAATACAGGAGAGAGTTAGCTCCCCGGAGTATATGAAAATACAGCAGAGAGTTAGCTCCCCGGAGTATCGGACAATACAGAGATAGTTAGCTCCCCGGAGTATTTGACAATACAGAGATAGTTAGCTCCCCGGAGTATCTGACAATACAGTGATAGTTAGCTCCCCAGAGTATCTGACAATACAGAGTAAATTAGCTCACCGGAGTATCTGAAAATACAGAGATACTTAGCTCCCCGGAGTATCTGACAATACAAAAGAGAGTTAGCTCCCCGGAGTATTTGACAATACAGAGATAGTTAGCTCCCGGAGTATCTGACATTACAGCAGGTATTTAGCTCCTCGGAGTATCTGACAATACAGAGATCATTAGCTCCCCGGAGTATCTGATAATACAAAAGAGAGTTAGCTCCCCGAAGTATCTGACAATATAGAGATAATTAGCTCCCCGGAGTATCTGACAATACAGAGCTCTATATAAACCGGAGTACTGAATCACCTAGAGATCTATAGCTCCCTAGAGTATCTGACAATACAAGAGAGAGTTAGCTCCCCGGATATCTCTATATAAACCCTGTACTGAATCACCTAGAGCTCTATATAAACCCTGTACTGAATCACCTAGAGCTCTATATAAACTCTGTACTGAATCACCTAGAGCTCTATATAAACTCTGTACTGAATCACCTAGAGCTCTATATAAACTCTGTACTGAATCACCTAGAGCTCTATATAAACCTGACTGAATACAGAGCTCTATATACCCTGTAGCTCTCCGAGCTCTATATAAATCTGACAATCACCAGAGATCTATATAAAGCTCACCCGGATATATCTGATAATCACAAAAGAGATATAGCTCCCTGTACTGAATCACCTAGACTATATAAACCCTGTACTGAATCACCTAGAGCTCTATATAAACCCTGTACTGAATCACTTCGAGCTCTATATAAACCCTGCTCTATATAAACCCTGTACTGAATCACCTAGAGTTCTATATAAACTCTGTACTGAATCACCTAGAGCTCTATATAAACCCTGTACTGAATCACCTAGAGTTCTATATAAACCCTGTACTGAAACACCTAGAGCTCTATATAAACCCTGTACTGAGCTCTATATAAACTCCCGGAGTATTTGACATTACAGAGATATAAACCCTGTACTGAATCACCTAGAGCTCTATATAAACTCTGTACTGAATCACCTAGAGCTCTATATAAACTCTGTACTGAATCACCTAGAGCTCTATATAAACCCTGTACTGAATCACCTAGAGCTCTATATAAACCCTGTACTGAATCACCTAGAGTATCTGACAATAAGAGAGATAAACCCCGGAGTATTATGACATTACAGACTGAATCACCTAGTATCTATATAAACCTGTACTGAATCACCTAGAGCTCTATATCCCCGCAGTATCTGACAATACAGAGATAATTATCTTCCCTGAGTATCTGACAATACAGCAGATTTCAAGTTTCAAAGTTCTTTGTGTTGTTAAATAATATCGTAATATAAATTATTACAAATTTCACGACTTGTCTTTATATTTACTGATATAACGTCCTTAATGAAATTTAGAAAGAAAATAAACTTGTTGAAAATTAGTAAAAACAGTTGATATATGACTTTATGAATCGGAGTTTTTCTCTTGGAATATTTAGACTCACCATGGTACAGGTACTGATAGGTTTAATGTACGATGTAGGTATGTCGAGAATTACTACACAACTCTTTAGCTACAAAATGATATATTTACATGTAATATTCAATAAGATGCTGAGGACGGGAACAAGAATGGACGTTTGATCGTATAAATTCGTATAAAAAAAGTCAGGATATATATAAAAAATTTCCCGGTGGTAGGAAAACACCATTTAGGTAAAATGAACGTTTGTGCCAGTGGGCTCAATATATCACAACACACTTCCTCACTTCTGAAATGGCTTCCAGAAACGGAAAATGGAAAAACAAGCATTTCCTTATAAAGTAAATGTTGCAGAATGGAATTTCAATAGGGGAATTATTCATTAAGTCAAAGCAATATAAGCCAGGTAGCATTCAGTTCTTAGTCAGCTCTCTACGATGAAGCAAGTCCCATAATGATCTCCAAAGGTGTACCAAACACTAGGCAATGTTCATATAGCCAGTGTGATCACTGACGGCGAATCAGAACTCTGTAAGGACTAGGACTTAACATTCCTCATCACTATACCATAACACCACACTGTAGGAACTTATATGAACTCCGAGCTGAATCACCTACAGCTCTATATAAACCCTGTACTGAATCATCTAGAGCTCTATATAAACCCTGTACTGAATCACCTAGAGCTCTATATAAACCCTGTACTGAATCACCTAGAGCTCTATATAAACCCTGTACTGAATCACCTAGAGCTCTATATAAACCCTGTACTGAATCACCTAGAGCTCTATATAAACCCTGTACTGAATCACCTAGAGCTCTATATAAACCCTGTACTGAATCACCTAGAGCTCTATATAAACCCTGTACTGAATCACCTAGAGCTCTATATAAACCCTGTACTGAATCACCTAGAGCTCTATATAAACCCTGTACTGAATCACCTAGAGCTCTATATGAACCCTGTACTGAATCACCTAGAGCTCTATATAAACCCTGTACTGAATCACCTAGAGCTCTATATAAACCCTGTACTGAATCACCTAGAGCTCTATATAAACCCTGTACTGAATCACCTAGAGCTCTATATAAACCCTGTACTGAATCACCTAGAGCTCTATATAAACCCTGTACTGAATCACCTAGAGCTCTATATAAACCCTGTACTGAATCACCTAGAGCTCTATATAAACCCTGTACTGAATCACCTAGAGCTCTATATAAACCCTGTACTGAATCACCTAGAGCTCTATATAAACCCTGTACTGAATCACCTAGAGCTCTATATAAACCCTGTACTGAATCACCTAGAGCTCTATATAAACCCTGAACTGAATCACCTAGAGAATCACCTAGAGCTATATATAAACTCTGTACTGAATCACCTAGAGCTCTATATAAACCCTGTACTGAATCACCTAGAGCTCTATATAAACCCTGTACTGAATCACCTAGAGCTCTATATAAACCCTGTACTGAATCACCTAGAGCTCTATATAAACCCTGTACTGAATCACCTAGAGCTCTATATAAACCCTGTACTGAATCACCTAGAGCTCTATATAAACCCTGTACTGAATCACCTAGAGCTCTATATAAACCCTGTACTGAATCACCTAGAGCTCTATATAAACCCTGTACTGAATCACCTAGAGCTCTATATGAACCAGACGCAAAACAAAAAAAATACTTACCGTAGAGTATATTAAAAACTCTCAGAATTTTTTCTTTCTGGAAACTGGTGAGTTGTGACTCGGCCATGTTGTATTATCTGCAAGAAAAGATACACAGCTGTTATTGATTCCGGATATACAAACATCACAGATTCCGGATACACAAACATCACAGATTCCGGATACACAAACATCACTGATTCCGGATACACAAACATCACAGATTCCGGATACACAAACATCACAGATTCCGGATATACAAACATCACTGATTCCGGATATACAAACATCACTGATTCCGGATACACAAACATCACTGATTCCGGGTACACAAACATCACTGATTCCGGATACACAAACATCACAGATTCCGGATATACAAACATCACTGATTCCGGATAAACAAACATCACTGATTCCGGATACACAAACATCACTGATTCCGGGTACACAAACATCACTGATTCCGGATACACAAACATCACTGATTCCGGATATATTACATCACTGATTCCGGATATATTACAACACTGATACCGGATACATTACAACACTGATACCGGATACATTACAACACTGATACCGGATACACTATTGTGTACCTTAATACATTGGATCAGTTTACAAGGCTAGTTTTGGAAAACGGCAATCTATTATTATTATTATTATTTCACTCTTAACGGCTCGTCAACACATAAAAGGTCATTAGGGCCATCAAACGGTAAAACACACAGCGATCCCATTTTTTTAAGATTACAAGAATAACTTAAAGTGTATTACTTGAAGTAATTGCAGAAATTGTAAAGCCATCTATATATAAAGGTCTATTTTTCTATTTAATACCTCAATTTCATTTATCGGTTTTGCTAATTATAGATAACATGACTTGTGAACAAAATGATATGTTTTAATCAGGGAAGTAAGAATCGATAGTTTCCTAAAAATGGTTTCGTTCGCGCGCACGGATTACACGCCCCGTAGAGTATACGTTTATATAAAATGGCTGACCGATACATAGACCACTGACCAGTCAAACTGATAAATTGGTTCAGCAAACTGACCATACCACTAGTCGTTGATAAATGTCATTCCGTATATGACCAGTCTACACTAAATTAATACGTCTGGCTTAGGCCCAGCACCGCGCCTCAGCCGCACGTGCACCACGTCGTCCAATTACAAAGGTTAAAAAAGTATCTATTAACCGCTAAAGGTACCAACATACTAGAACCATTTTGCTATTTTCTTTCGGCTCTGCGAATTACTGATTGATGGTCAGTTATTTTACACATTCTTCTGTGATTGTTCTTTATCATCGTTTATTGACGAACACGATAGAAAATCGAAACCTAAAATAAAGCAAGGTTTAATTAAATTGCGTGTTTGTGTCTCTCCTGATCTGTAAAGGACCTGTTAACACGAACAGGTGCTAGTACAAAGCGGAGATTCTGAATCATGTCATGTAATACAAAAATAAAGCACACCTAGAAATGATACAAAAATAAAGACTTCTACATATAAACATTTTAGAAAAAAACGTTTCAAACGAAGTTTTTGATTTGAGATCATTTGTGGTGTTGCTAGTAGTTGTGTTAACTAATTGGCGGTCTGTTGCAGCTTCAACGCTTCATTTGCGGACAAAGATTTACTGAGATACACTCCGCGACCTTCATGTGTTTTGAAGAACAAGTATTGAAATCTCTGTGGACGAGTACGTCACGTGTCTGTCTGTGTGTCTGTCTGTCTGTCTGTCTTTATTTGTTTAGATAAACTAGTATCGTTACGTTTAATAAACTCACGACATTGGACAGTGAAGGATTCGACTCAATCGATCGGACCAATCCCTGTTGGAACATTCAACAGTATATCAGAGTATGTTGGAGTAATCGTCTGTCAAGCAAGCTTATCGCTATTTCATATATAAACAATTCATTTACTGAGTATAAAGAATCCTGAAGAAAAATAGTGTTACTTTGTTAATCAGTATTCCTTAATATATGTCTATCTCAATCCATCTCTAGAACTGAACAACGTATGTAGAACAACTTTTGTATGCGACCTCTAATTTGTAACGTAAAATAGCGACTGGCTAAGAGTGGTCTCGTGACATAGCCTCGGTCCAGGTGACAGGTTGTGGGTGATCACATTGACTTCACAGAGATTTTATCTCTTTCAATTGCCATATTTTTCTACCTTGTCCCTTTCCATATTTTTTCGGGTTTAACATTTTCGGGGGAGGGGGGGGGGAGTACCGGTTTAGATTCCCGTCTTTCAGTTGTTTCCATTTGCTTTTGGATATATATTCATTTCCTTTAAATATCTCCCCCCCCCCCTCCCCCGCCCCCTCCACAGGCCTCCTTAGGCTGCTATTAACGAAGACTTTGATTACACTTGACAACGAGATCCTATACCACGTGATACCTTGTGTCCGACAATCAAGATGTCGGACCCTGTAATGAGACACAGGGGCGTGCCGAAAGCCAAGTATCGGTATCGGGGACAAAATCTTTGGCCTCTTTTGGTCCTAATTGCAATCAGCTGGTATTTCATCGCCGTCCATACAGAAATATTGACGCCATATTGAACGTGATCTTACCGATATTAAAACGACGAATAAAACAGGGTCCAAAAAAGGCCAGAAAAAGCTAATTAACCGGACCGGATGTGCGTTTTTGTGTAAACCGGAAGTAAGAATATGTAGCGTGTGACGAATGAAATAGTACGGTATGTCTAACTTGGGAAAGCGAGCAATAAATATGTTAGTTTTGATATCGAGAAAAATATAGATACTACGGTGGCTGGTTTAGGACACACATATTTCTTCTTTCTCGAACGCTCGACTTATTATCCGGTTAACATGTATCAAGTAACCACATGGATGCAGATGTGCAGGTAGGTTTATGTTTTTCACTCGTATTCCTTACAGTGCGAAATTTAGTGTCGATATGACATAGTAAGTCGAGCATTCGAGATAGTAAATCGAGAGATCGAGATAGTAAGTCGAGCACTCGAGATAGAAAGTCGAGCGCTCGAGATAGAAAGTCGAGCGCTCGAGATAGTAAGTCGAGCATTCGAGATAGAAAGTCGAGCGCTCGAGATAGTAAATCGAGCTCTCGAGATAGAAAGTCGAGCACTCGTGATAGTAAGTCGAGCGCTCGAGATAGAAAGTCGATCGCTCGAGATAGTAAGTCGAGCGCTCGACTTAAATAAAAAGATATGTGTGTCCTTAACCAGCCACCGTAGATACAACTATATCATATCGTCATTAGTTTTGTGTCATTGTCATCACAGCCAAATCTACACCAGCAGATTAATAACTAATAAATCCGTTTAGTCTTTATAGTGTATCTGCACAGTGTGGAACCCACACACAAAAACTGACATCAACAACTTGGAAATGTACGGAAGTGTATTCCGCCCACGTTGTGTTTTATTTTATTTCGAAATTTCGAGCAATGTCGTCACAGTGAATGAACACACACCTGTAATATCAATGTTGTCACAGTGAGGGAACATACACCCTTAATATCAATGTCGTCACAGTGAGGGAACATACACCCTTAATATCAATGTCGTCACAGTGAGGTAACATACACCCTTAATATAAATATCGTCACAGTGAGGTAACATACCCCCTTAATATCAATGTCGTCACAGTGAGGGAACATACACCCTTAATATCAATGTCGTCACAGTGAGGGAACATACACCCTTAATATCAATGTCGTCACAGTGAGGGAACATACACCCTTAATATCAATGTCGTCACAGTGAGGGAACATACACCCTTAATATCAATGTCGTCACATTACGTAGTTTGTAAGTAATCTATATTTAGATTATCAAACTATACATTTTTCGTTTGAGTATGATTGCTTATGATATCATAGCTTGTATGAGCGTTTCCTTACCGCTTGTTATGTATCGGGCAAAGCACCCGAGGGGAAATCCTACTGTTGAAAGTACCACTTGGTTACCATTCATTCTTGTTTTTTTTTTTTTTGTACATTGGTCCAGGACTGACGATTTGGGTTTTAATGAAGAAGATGTTGTAACTGAGTCGGTCGCGAAGTCTCTCGATCTGTCCAGACTTACGCTCCTGTGGGCTATCTCCGTTATTTCTCGAGACCGTGCGTTTAGCATGGACACAAGACGTACCGACTAATTGAAAAAAAACTCCATTCCTTGTTGGCATAACATTTCAATATTTGTTGAACCTAAAAAAGTCGTAAAAATCTAATCACGCAGCTTTTATGTGATAGGGGTCCAGGGATTTCCTATAATATGTAGCTGCACGTGCTTCTCGTACAAATCATTGCCGTACATTCCATTATGTCACACCAATCTACTAAGTCCGCTGTGAAATCTCGCGGGATTAAGGGCACACGTGATCTGACCATTTAACGATACCGGAGATAAGTTTGATAAGATCGATGGCAGTTTTGTTAGATAGTCTCGTGCAGTGGGTGGTCACTCCGTGTTACCGGGCGGAAACTCTCTGTCTCTTCAGTCTCGGACACTGTGTGATTATTCTGTGTTACTACGTAGAAACCCCCGTCTCGACAGTTTCGTTCACTGGCTGGTCATCTCGTGTTACTGCTCGCAATCTCTCTGTCACAAAGGTCTCGAACACGGGTTCAAGCCATCAGTCTCTACAGTCTAGTGCAATGGGTAGTCATTCCGTGTTTCTACTCGGAAACCCTCAGTCTCTACAGTCTAGTGCAATGGGTAGTCATTCCGTGTTACTACTCGGAAACCCTCAGTCTCTACAGTCTAGTGCAATGGGTAGTCATTCCGTGTTACTACTCGGAAACCCTCAGTCTCTACAATCTAGTGCACTGGGTAGTCATTTCGTGTTACTACTCGGAAACCCTCATTCTCTACAGTCTAGTGCAATGGGTAGTCATTCCGTGTTACTACTCGGAAACCCTCAGTCTCTACAGTCTGGTGCACTGGGTAGTCATTCCGTGTTACTACTCGGAAACCCTCAGTCTCTACAATCTAGTGCAATGGGTAGTCATTTCGTGTTACTACTCGGAAACCTTCAGTCTCTACAGTCTAGTGCACTGGGTAGTCATTCCGTGTTAC